ATACGACTATAATGGCGTAAAAGGAGGTAAGAAGTGGCTTTAACTAAAACCTATGTAAATAGGTCCGCGATGAACATCGAATGCCAACATTATTTTAGGTAAGGGCCCTTTTAAGTGTATCGCATGTGAATATGTGTTTTCACATGAAATATTCGGTTCAATATCTCGTCTAAAGAGAATACACATTTATTATTAGATTACAGAAAACTTAACGTCTATGTTTATATTTGACCCATATTATAGTGAGAAAGTTTACCAATTTGAATAGTATTTTGAAGTACTATCGTTCATATACGAATACTTGGTGTATGTGTAATTCTATCTTATATTCTAAACTAATAGAGGAATGTAAAATTTGTAGTTAAACATTAGATTATAATATATTGCAGTAGCCGTGGTCACGCGTTGGAAATGATTAATGTTTAATTAATATTTTTAGCGTTTTAAAAATAGCTTCGCCTTTAATAATGGTTGGAAACCATAATATTTTTTTATATACATTGTATAAATTAAAAATAAAGATTAAAAAAAATTGCGACCCGTGTGTGACTTAGACCGGCATCCACAATAGCACGAAACGCTGGTGATGCCAGTTATTTTTTTTTTCAATCTAATTTGATTTATAATTTACACAATGTTTGATTTTCCACCCTTACCACCTAAGATGAAACGCTTTTTAATAATTTTTAAATAAGTTTGATTAATATATATCGCGTTTTAAACCGTTAAAGTGTTCTATTTAAAGGTACCACTCGCCACCAACTACATAGAGTATATAAAACGCCTTTGTCTACATTTTTAGACAGTCTTCCCTATATACACTTCTCAAAATTGCATGAACAATAGCGAACATATCCTCGAGGGTAAAACAAATGAAAATATTGAAGTATATAATTTAAATATGATTGTACGTGAAAAGTAATTAAATATTGCACTGTAAGTTAATTTGCGTATTTTGCACGGCTTGTTGTCGCGAAAAATAATCGATAAACTTCTGCTCCCTGACATGAACCCGAAGCTATAAATATTCATAATTTTAATGTTACCACATATAAACATTGATATTACTACTTGACGGGCTAATAACTGAGGGGTCGTCGGTTCAAATTCTATAAACAAGTATAATTATTATATATATATTCTAAGCTTTTTCATGCGAGTTCTTAAAATCTAAGTATTAGGTGAAAAGCTATTTACTACTGTCTGTAGTTTACGCGAGAAGTACATTCTAACGGTTTAAAACGCGATATATTCTAGATAAAATTGTTTGAAAATGATTTTTAATTACATATTTGTCTCTCCGCTGCCACGACTGCTGCAAAGCATCCGAAACGTCGTAGTGAAAAAAAAATCTCAAACAAGTTTAAATAAAATATATCGCGTTATAAACCGTTAAAGTGTTTTATTTAAAAACGTGTTGCTAGTCAATACGTTTCAGAGGTAAGTTAAAAAACTAGCCAGGCAGACATTTAACAAGCTGAGTTCTTTGCAAAACATATTATGAGTATTTCTAACGGTTTAAAATGCGAATTATTTCGGTACACTTTACTTTTTATACACGACGATTTGAATGCTGTTTTCAGGTCACGCGAGTTGTTTTTGTTATATTTCTGCTCTGAAACGGAAACCAAATGAATTTTTATTACAGCTACCGAAAACTCAATTTACGTGACATCATCTTAAAAGAAACGCAAACGGCTTCTTGAATAGCAAATTGATTTTTATTCCTAACTGGAAAAATGTAAATCATTCAGTCAATTAAAGACTGAAGACGAAAGTATAGAATAAAAATATATTTATGGAAATTAGGATTTTGCGTTGAATTTATTACCCACTGAATCTCAATGATTTTGTCGAAATATCAACACATACCGTCGTTAATAATAAATTGAATACGTTTTTGAACGACGAATTAGTAATATATTATTTATTACAATGTGCCATTTAGAATAGAATAGAATAGAAGACATTTATTCTACTTTCAATGCATAATCATGAATCAGAAACAAAATCAATGTTGAATCGTTTTAATATCTTCTAAAAAAGATAACAGCTCAAACAGTTAGATGTAATACGATGATAATTGTATAATATTTTTAGCGATAACGCATACATTTTATCTTATATGCTTTTTTTATGATAGAGGTGGACAGACACGCATAGAAGTCACTTGATGGTAGATGAAATAACCCAGCCATAAAGCTTCTCAACAAGATACGCTGTCGACCTTCGGAAATCTATAGACTGAAACGCGATTAAACTTCACGCTTTTTCATCTGTGAGCGGGGGTTCGTGACCCGGACTTCGATATTCTTACCACCCATTAAATATGCCGATTTCCAGATGGAGTCCACCATGCTTCAGAAAAATTAAAAATTTATTAGTTGGACCCAGTGGGAATCGAACTCCCTACCTGTTGATTATTACCATTAAACCAATGATCCCGTCAACCTTTTATAGATGTTCTAGAACGCGGTAAAAGATTTACGTCCTTCTGAATCGTGGGTGTCCACGACTTGAACCAAATAAGCTCTATATTCATTCGTATAATGATTTTACGCGTAGGAATAGTAATTTCTTATAATGCCAAGCTCACACGAAGCTGTTTTATTCATAAGGGTCGCTTACATGCTTCGCTACACCCTCTCGCAGATAGAATGGCGTTAATTACATTGGTAATTACTCTTTTTATATGTCTGCCAACGACTCTGCTTCGTTTCATTAGATTTTCCATATACTTGGCATGGGAATGTTGAGCAAAAATTATTCTCAGACCGATAGACCTCACCATGAGTACCCGAAAGATTTATACCACTAGTTCAACTATTAGAGATTCGTAACTATTGTTAACAGAACAGTATAGATCTGCATAGATTTTTACTTATTGACTAGCTTGAAAAATTTATTTATTGACCCGGTAGCTCAATTGGTTGGAGCAACAGCACGGAACGCTGTGGAAGCTGGTTCAAGTCCTGCCCGTTTGTTTGTTTTTGTTGTCGATTGTACTACACGATTGTCTTTCGTTTTATTTTCCGCGTATTATTTTAGAAAAAAACCACCATTCTGATGATCCTGTTTGATGACGACGCTACAGATAACATTTAATATTCCCTCTATCAAGACAAAGGGGCGATGTTATATTAATTCGGAACACTCCTGACATTTCTTGTGCGGAGGTCACTCCCCACTGAATTAAACTGTAAGCGCCGGTTTTGCTTTACGCGAGCAATTAATTTGGTAGTGCTTTGAAGGCTTGCAATGAAAGGAAAGCGCTTAGAAATTTATTAACTGCACAAACACGTGAACTCGGTCTTAGTTCAGCGTTTTGTTTGTAAAGGAGCTGAATGCAATTAACGAGAAAGTATAGGTAAAATATTACTTTATTTCGTTATTGCGATTGTGTTAGTGTCAAATAATCAAACTGGCAACTAGTTAATTTAAAGTTATAGTTTTATTATCTGTAATCCTAGTAACAATTCTTTCTTATATCTGTGCATTAAATAGGCCAGATGTATACTGTTAAATTGAAACAAATTCAAACTTCGAATGTCATTTAGAATCTGTGTTTTATTTTGCATCTGTGCACATGTTTGGCGGGAAATGTTTCGATTAAAGTTATATTTTGTAGAGTTCGCTGGAAAATGCGCGTTGTATGTACTTGGTAAATAAGTGAAGGAGGCGTAAGGCCTTAAGGGTGTCTAGTGATGCGCGTCGCTATAATGAGTGACCTTTTCATCAAAGTCTAGGATTTAGGCCGAATACGTAAGTAGCTTGAATATTTTATCAGTCGTTTGGTAGCTCTGCTGGGCCTTGACCTTACATTTCAAGCCAAGTAAACTGGTAATGGTCTAGTTTTGACACGGAATGAGGTTAGACATTGAATACCTGTTTTCATTAACTTTTGAGCGACAATAGCGGCGGACAATATTGTAATTACATTTTGCTATGAAATAACAATTTAAATACCGAAATATATTACATAACTCATTTTTATTTTTGCTGCAAAATATCCTAAACCTCGGTTCGTAGTTAAATGTCATAACTTCACGTTTTAAACCGTTTAAGAGTTGTTCAATGTGTTGTACTAGTGTATAAACTTTATTGTTATTATTAAAAATAGTGGCAACTTATAAAATTAGTTATAATATTGTGTTGTTGATCATATTTTATACAATACAATATTTTATATACCTAAAAAGACTGAAATAGATAAACATTATCTGTTCGCACTAGCTGGAAATGAAAGCGTATCAAGCAATGAAAATAATAGGTGCTCTAGAGTTTACACTACGGCCATTAGATGTGGTAATGTTTTTCACTGAATGGGGCCTCGTTTGGCATCATGCTGCAGGTAATTAAGATATTTTGTTATCTTTAATGGTTTTTAATTTCTTTTAATGAAGAACAAATTTCTACATTGTTTTTATAACCGAACTGGGTTAGCACAGCGTTTTGGCGAAATATTTTTCGACATTTCAGTCTTCACTAAGAAATTGTATGTCAATATATGTTATTTATTTAGATTACGATAGAAAAACAACCTAGTATTAATTTAATTTATTTTTGCTGCTTTCATACGCTTATTGAAGCCCAATGGCTGCTGTAGTGCCTTTATAATGCAATCTCACTGGCTCGGCAACTCACTGTGTGCGCAGGCGACACGTCCGCTCTCGCCCCTTGGCTCTCGCTGCAATGACCGCGCACCCCGCCACACAGTAGGCACGAGACAGTGTCATACGTACTAAGGACTGTAGGTTCTACTCAAACACTACATCTCTTTCTTATCAAAAACTTTTTTAATCATTTGATACAATTGCCCTTGATTACTCTTAATAGTATATAAGTTAACAATTTACTGTAACTCACTGTTTTTTTTTATTTCTACTGTTGTTTGTCAGATTAGGTTCTTAAATATCTTGCATTGATATCCACTCGCCTTCTACTCTCTTTAAAGGTAATATGTTTCTCCTCAGAGTCTGTCATGTATGTGTGGTGCTGGGTTATAATTTGGGGCAAGCTTGTGACATTTGGTTTACATAAACTCTGTCTCCTCCGCTCAAATCCACATTCTGTGCCTTTCTTCTTTTGTCTCCGTGTTCTTTTCCTCTCTCTTTTTGTTCTTTATTTTTGCCTCTAAGTTCTGTCTTTTGTAAAACAATTTTGTTGGTGTTTTCCCTGTTACAGAGTGAGGTGTTGAATTATACATCTTGAGGAAGTCATTCAAGCTATCTTGTAAATCTTTTTTCTCAATACTTTTGTTTTGTCTCTCTACTTCGCCATTTTGTTGAGGCCAGTAGGCACTGTACTAAAAAGTTTTATATTACATTCGTTGCAAAAATCTTTAAATTTTGCACTCACAAACTGTCGGCCGTTATCTGCCGTTATTGATGATGGATAACCTAGGCTGCCAAATATTTCTTTCAATAGCTTGATTATTACAACTAGTAATGGTCTTCGTTATCTTCACTTCCTTGTGACGGCTATAATAATCTACTACGACTAATAAATAATCATTGCTGGGTAATGGCCCTAGTAAATCCATTGCTATATCCACCCAAGGTGCATCTAGGAGTTCCCGACGTTTCATAGGAGCTGGCGGAATTGGTAATTCTACTGAAGTACAGCCCTTACAACTCTATACCAGGCATCCAGAATCCTTGTCTGTTTTGGCCTCCATACTTTGGTCCGTAACCGTCATTTCATGCCGACAATCCCAGGGTGACCTTCGTGTGCAGCGTCTAGAACTCTTTTCCGAAATACGGATGCTATAACTATTCTATTTCTTCTTAGGAGTATATCACCGAAAAAGTACAATTAATTTTCGAAGATCTTATATCCTATGACATTATCTTCTTAGTTCTTGTCGTAGATACCTTGCCTTACTTAACGTATTTCCGAATCTTGCTCTGAATGCATTTTAATTTCGGTCAAAGAAATTGCGCATGGTTTAGCATTTTCTACAATCTGGTTGACATGTTCGTCGTCATTGGTCTTTTTGCAATCTGAGATTATGCACAGTCGTGATAATGGATCTGCGATGTTCATCTTTCCAGGCTTGTATATGATGTTATACCAATACGCCTGTAAACGTAGTACCCACCTCTCTATCCTAGCACAACGTTTTGACCTCACTCCAAACAAAACCTCTAAGGGTGTATGATCAGTGATTAAATCGAACTCCTTGCCGAATAGAAATATATTATAATGCTCTATAGCCCAAACCAAAACCAAAGCCTCTTTTCAGTTTGGCTGTATCTACGCTCGCATTCGGTTAATGTGCAATTCCCAAAAGCAATAATTCGGGGTCTGTTGGCATCAATTTGAACCAAAACTGCGCCTAATCCGACAGGGCTGGCATCAGCAATAACCTGGGTTTTGTCGTTTATGTCGTAGTATCCAAGGTTTTGAATTTTGGTCAGAGATTATTTATTTTTAAGTTCTCAAAAGCCTGATTCTGTTCTTGGGTCCATAACTCCTCGATATTAGCATTTTTGCCAAATTTCTTCCTAAATAATTGTTTCAATGGCTCTGTCGTCGTTGTTAAGAAGCCCAAAAAGCTTTGCAACTCATTTCTTTTTTTAAAGCTTTTGTTGTGCAATGCATATTTTGTCAGTGACTAGGTTATATTTAGATCCGGAATCAATCAACATTTTAGTTTTTTTATACCCACATCACGTTCTATATTTGCATCATTATTGATTTTAAAAACATAATCGACTTCATCATCTGTTATATTTTTTAAACTTTACCTTGATTCTAGGCTGGGATATTTACTAGGTTTTTCCATCGCTTCCTATCAGTTCCTTCCAATTTCCTTTTTCTGAATACCTGTCTTGTAATACTGCTTGCCTATTTTTCCACATGCATAGCATACTTTGCCTAACGCCGGGCAGTTTTTAACATGACAAGTGTCTCGAATTTCCACATCTGCCACACCCTTTATTTGAATTTGACCTGGACCTACTCCTGCTAAATCTTCCTTTATTTTTCGAAGACTCCGCTGCATGCACCTCTGTTCATTTATTTAGCTGACCATATTCTTCCAATTTACGTTTTACAACTTCTAGAGTATTAGCCTCTGTGATTATCTTGTCTAAATGTTACACTATCTCGTATTGTCAAAATTTTCTTTCACAAACCAACAGAGAGGCACTTCTCTATTATTTGATCGATTAGGTGATCGTCCGGCTTATCAAATTGGCATTTTTCAGCTTGATTCCGCAGCCTTACTAAGAACTTATCGAATATTTTACCTTCGTCTTGTCTTATTAAACGATACAAATGTCTTTCATAAATTTTGCTTTGCTTTAGAGTGAAATAATCGTCGAGTCTCTGAATAGCTATGTCAAAAACATTATTATCACCAGAGGGTGTAGCATTGGCACCCGGGAAACTATAGAAAATTTCTTGAAGGCCCGATCCACCAAGAAGTAGAAGTGTCGCCCTTTTTTCATCGGTGTTGTTATATCTGTAGCCTCTTAGTATATATTTAATGAACGTTTCCACTTTTTCCAAATGGCCTAATGACTATCTCCCTCCAAATCCAACTTTTCCAATGTAGGTAGATTTGTCATGAGCTGAAAGGCGCGACATAAAAAATAATAAAACCTTTCGCGATTTTGTTTGTAAATTTCCAATTTAATGGTGGTACTTCTATGCCAGATGCCTAATTTAATGGAGGTATAAACTACCATGTATTTCCAATTTAATGGTGGTACTTATGTCCCAGATTCCCAATTTAATGGAGGTATAAACTACCATGTTTTCCAATTTAATGGTGGTACTTATGTGCCAGATTCCCAATTTAATGGAGGTATAAACTACCATGTTTTCCAATTTAATGGTGGTACTTATGTGCCAGATTCCCAATTTAATGGAGGTATAAACTACCATGTTTTCCAATTTAATGGTGGTACTTATGTGTCAGATTCCCAATTTAATGGAGGTATAAACTACCATGTATTTCCAATTTAATGGTGGTACTTACGTGCCAGATTCCCAATTTAATGGAGGTATAAACTACCATGTTTTCCAATTTAATGGTGGTATAAACTACCATGTTTTCCAATTTAATGGTGGTATTTTATACCATTGACTCCCAATTGAATGGAGGTGTAATTAACCACAAATTTCCAATTTAATGGTGGTATTTTATACCATTGACTCCCAATTTACTGGAGGTGTAATTAACCACAAATTTCCAATTGAATGGGGGTATTTTATACCATTGATTTCCAATTTAATGGAGGTATCACTGTACCACTTATTTCCAATCGAATGGGGGTATCATTGTACCATTTTTTTGGAGTTAACTAGCTATACATGAGTATGCACAAAATTATAGAAGTGGGCGATGTAACATTTTACACTAGTAGATTTATATAAAAACGTCTGCAATTCCATTTTAAGTTGATATAGTGGGTACTTATATACGCCAAAATATATAACAATATACCAAAATAAAATTAAACAAATAAACTCCTACAAATTATTTAAACAAAAAATAAAAGAACATTTACTAAAAAACATGTAAATTAAATTTATTATAATTAACAAGTAAATTTCGCACACAGATACAACCTACAACAAATAAAAAATATATCTCAAGCAAAAACAGAAAATACTATAAGTAAATCAAATTCATGAAACTATAAAACTAGATGTTTCTGTCTAGAAATAATACAGAAAAATAATAAACTTAATGTGATGTGCGAATGCACCATCTGGTATCGCTTATCTTTGTATGTTTACTCGATCAGCTGCGTTCGCGCCGACGACGTCAAAGCTAGATAATAATACCAAGACATACTGTTCAACTACCTCCTTCTTATAGTTGTGTTAAATAACAATACTGTCCAAATTTGAATGTAATATTTAGTTAACCTAGTAATGAGTGAATGTGTACATTTTTTAATAAATGTCTAAAACCACTTGTAACATTTTAGAGGGTACGTAATTAATATAACTTAAGGTATAATTGTAATAAACATAAATAGTAACTATATTGTATACCGACCCATAGACTTTGCTTTCCACGCCATCATCCGCAAGCGTGTAGCTTCCCTCATGTATCGAGTTCGACAAAGCACCATAAGCATTCTGGAGGCAGTGTGTGAAAAGTATACGGTGCTGCTAAAACGATGGAGTGACGTCCATGCTCCCCCTTAGCGCCTAGCACCTATTCTATGTATTCTGTCTACTTAATTTTAGTGACTAACACATTCTAATATACATTTTAAGTTATAATTGTTACTAACCCAACTAACGCACATTAGAATTAATTAAATTAATGTATGGATTTATGGTCCGACAAATAAATTATTATTATTATAGAAACACAATAAAAACTTTTATCGGGTCCGCACTTACATTGAATAATAATTATGAACATCTGCACCCGCACTATGTTGTTTAGAAGTTGCAGCGAACCGGCGGGTAGTTATTTATTCGGAGTCTAAAACTAAAATTTGTAACAACCTGTTTGCGACACCAGCGATAAGGACACTATTATGCCAATATAGGCAGTAGCTACTTAAATTCGACAACTATAAACAACAATGAGCGATATTAACATAGTTTTAATAAAACGAGTCACGAATGAAATAAACAAATGCACTTGTACTCTTGAGCGGTTGTAATTGCCTGTAGGTAATTTCACAATGGTTTGAGTGTTCATGATTTTATCATTATTATTTCTTTTTTTTTTTAGTACATTGACCCCTTTTATTTTATTTCAATTTGAATTATATAAATTAAATAGTCTGACCTTTGTCCTCGTCGCCACTTGTAGTGCCTTTATAATGCAATCTCACTGGCTCGGCAACTCACTGTGTGCGCAGGCGACACGTCCGCTCTCGCCCCTTGGCTCTCGCTGCAATGACCGCGCACCCCGCCACACAGTAGGCACGAGACAGTGTCATACGTACTAAGGACTGTAGGTTCTACTCAAACACTACAGCTGCAATAAGCGTTCAGTTAATATCAAAGCCCAATGCTTTGATATTAACTGAACGTTGGTGCCGACTTCTACATGTTTTTTTAGAACATTTCTTTTCAACTGTATGTAAAATATTGTTTTATGTATATTATTGTTTGGAATCAGACGGCTATATGTAAAATATTTTTTTATGTATTGTATTGTTTGAAATCGGTTCTTTTTTATCATATAATTATTTTATTACTACTTATACTACACTTACACTACACTATAAAATCAGTTGTGTAAATCAAATAAAATTGTCCTCTCGTTAATTCTTGTTACATTTGAAAATTAACCGTTGCCTTCATTGCCTATTTAAATTTCTCTTTCTGTGTAATAAGTTTTAATCTTTTCATAAATGTGCAACAACACATGGAATAGCTAAAACTATTACTAGTAATACACTGCCTTTGTTAATAGCAGTTACATTATTAAAACAAGCTAGCTTATATGACTGAGCTCAACATAAGCATGCGGCCGCATTTTACTTACAATAGTTATGTAAATAGTTAGCCATACAAAATTCAGTACGACCGCGCCCAGATTCTGGCATTTACTCGCTTGCCTGGATTGTACTATTTAGTATTCTAGTAACTACTATGGCTTATATCTGACGTCATAGTAATGTATTTTTTTATGATGGAGGATGAACAATCAGGTTTTACTTGATCCTAGGTAAAACACCCCAGCTAAACAAGATTCAAACTATTTTGGCTTTGGTGGTTCAGAAAACTACAGACTGAAACCGAATCGCGATTAAACTTTATAACTTTTTTTTATCTATGAACGTGGATGGAATTTTAATATTCCTATCACCCATTGAATATTCAGTATTTAAGACGAAGGCCAACATGTCTAACATGAGATTTAAATTTAGAATTTGTAACTGTTTCATCTGCCCCTCGCTTCTCGCAAACGACCTCCCCGCTCCCTTTATTAATATTTTTTATTAGTGAGATTAAGAACTCACCACTTTGACCTTTTCGCTGACCCACTGAAAACTTCAACTGACCATAATTGGTCCTCCGAGATCGGACAGTACCATTCATTCCGGAGACCCAGCGAAACTGGGAAACCTACTGTTTCCCATTTACTGGGACTATACCTACTGAGAAATCCACATAGACCAAAACATAAAGTCGCGCGAACGCACCTTCTATCTTCGTAACCCAGTTAGATTCCTGATCTGGATTTTGCATGCGCAAAGTAATGTCGCGTGTAAACCAAGACTCGGTATCGCCTGCATTATTTTGTCGTTAACCTAATTCTCTACATATCTACAACGAAATAGGGTTTTCGAGCGTAACCTTCTAGCTTAAGTTTGCTTGTTAAATGTGCTATTGTTCTTTTAGCGTGAACACGTGGATGATATTATAATGGCAAGATTGTAAACGCTAGTTTGCATATGCTATGCTTTCGGCCGTGATTAGACACATTATGTATTACTTACCTAGTTTAGTACGTTACCTGACGTATGAAAAATCTATAGTTTAGTATTGTCTGTAGTATACGCGATCCCAAACCTACGGCTGCTGCGTAGCCGAAACGTTAGGCCGTTTTTGAAATAAATTAAAAATAAGTTGTCTTATATATTCTGCATTTTAAACCGTTCAAAGTGTTTTGTTTCAATCTATGCTACAGATGAGAGTAAATAATTAAATCTTGATTATAAAAATCTAAAAATGCATTATCATGTAATATTTTTATAAATTGATACTTCTTTTTATCAAAATGAGTTATGTAGCTCTCCTTTTGTGCTTTATCAAAATTAGGATGTTATACATGGTGAAACTGAAATCGTTCATGCAAAACAAAGTTAGCTTTATGTAAACACATTTTATCCAGTTTACATCTAATTCAATTAATGTTGAGGTGTTCCAAATCTACTATTTTATTATTTACGTCTCTAAAAATACTTTGTTCTATTTTCGTCCAGAACATCCCTCGTATTCCAATACGATGGTTAGCCGCTATCAACAAGTGCCAACACATAAATATCTGAGGCAGCGGTTTTAGAGGGATCCGTGGCGGGTTGACAAAATGTCGAGTGAAAGGGCATTGTTGTGTAAAAGTTCTTTCTATAAGGACTTCCTTAATGTTCCTTTGAAGGAAATAATGTTTCAGCAGATTTTAACTTCTTCAATTTATTCCATAATCTGCTATAGATTCTAACATGTATGTAACTTTAAACGAAATCGAAATGATAAGAGTAATAAATATCAATATATTTTTTTAATTAAACATTTTTAACTGCTCAAATTGAGAAGAATATTAACCGTTTAAATGTCTTATTTTAATGTTTTTATTTACTATATAAAAAATTTAATTGCATTAAAAAGGATTTAAATAAAAAACTTTAACGGTTTAAAACGCCAAATGTATTAGTTACACTTATTTACAACTTATTTTAACTACAACCCTACCTTTCGTACCACGCCCCGTCACCACGACTGTTTCAAAGCTTCCGAAACATCGGGCCATAGTTAAAATATAATTGGTAAATAAGTTTAACTACATTTCGCGATTTAAACCGTTAAATCTGTACTACTCGCGTCAACTACAGACAGTATTTGGACTTTCGGATTTAATTAAATCTTATTACAATTATTGGCAATAGTTTATTTTAATAGTGAATTATCAAAATTTATCCTCCATAACCACTCGCGACGTATTCACCATAAATTGCCATAGTCTCCTAAATTGAATGTCACGTGTCTTGTTTCCAAGAGATCTAGGATAATATGACGCGCGAATTGCGTGGGCTTTGCTGAACGGAAATTTGATGTTATCGATCTTTGTTACGTTCGAGGTATTTTACCTGCATAAAAATTGGAATAGTTTTGAAAATATTTCCCTAGTTATTTAACGCATTCATATTTAGTTGTTCCTTTGTCCTAGGCAGTCGTGAGGCGGGGGACGTGGTAAATCGTACTAAAATATCTAACTAGCCCAAGGATTTAATTTCTATATCTTTGATACGTTAGTTTGAATAAGCCTTTAGTACAACAATATGTATTCAAACGAAAACCTATTTTTAAAAAATGTGTTAGGCTTTCACGGCATCATCAGAGGATGTTAAGTCCTCGATTGTGCGAAGAATTCGAGCAATTCGCACGTGATGGCAAATCGTCGAGAACCTCTTCTCGCTCATCGACCGAACAGCCCGAAAGACAATGATATGCTGGAAAACCCATTTTATTTAATGCTATGAAGATTCTACAAGAGATTTCTTTAATGACAGAGGAAGACAATCCATGGTGAAATGCCCAACATAATAACACCTTATAAAGATGCCCTGTTGACCTATTTCCTTTGAACATCAGTTATAACCTAAAATGGACCCGACAATGCCTAATCTCTGAGTAGTGAACATAAGCCACCGCGGGCTTACAGAGTGCTATCTGTAAAAGACACTCATATTTTCCAGTCGCTACCGTAATCCGAACCGAATGACAGATTCACTCGATAAATTGTGGATCTTCAAAGTTTTACTTACTTAAGTAACTAAATACTCTTTGTAGTTTACACGTCTAAATACTCTTTGTAGTACAAATTTAATTAAAATACTTTTAACGGTTTAAAACGTATTTGTTGAATAAAACATTTTTTAAATATGTTTAACATGTACATTTTGCGTTTTAAGCCGTAAAAAATGTTTCATTTAATTACTTAAGCAAGTTTTAGTATTACTGAGAATACTTTTAAAGGACTTAATACAGGTACAGTAATGTATAAACTCTAAGTATTCAAATAAAACACTTTAACTAGTTAAAAATCATTTTCAAATAAGTTTAACTAATATATCGCGTTTTAAACCGTTAAAGTGTTTTATTTAAATGTGTACTACTCGCGTAAACTATAGACAGTATTTAACTCTAAGTATCGTAAGTTCAGTTTCTACTGGACATGTTTGTAAATCATTTTCTAAGATCTATATATTTTTTAATCTTATAAATGAGCCTTCAGCTTATAGATTATATTTAGTTTCAAAGAAAAGAGGTAGATATTATTCCTTAATACACCTTTACAAACACGAATGTATTTAGCGTCCTGCAATATTTTTTACGTAAAATACAAAGCATTCCTTTCAGGCCCTTCAGCCTACGAATTCATCCTAATAACATTTTTTATCATCTTTTAGCAAGTCATTACAACCGTGGAGTTTTCTAAAGAATTTCATACACATTTTTGCGATAAGGATGGAGGTAATTACTCATTTTGACAGGTCTCCTAACTGTTGTTTTAATCTGCTAAGTAGCAGTTGAATCTGCTTTGAAGTGCCGGGCATCACTTTCTTTGATACCTATATATATTCTTTCTGTTTCTTAAAGGTACTTATAACGTGCAAAAATAATTTGGCTTACCAAATATTGACGCTTGATTAAAATCGTTGAAATTTTCCCTCTAAAATACTTCGAAGGGCTTTGTGATCCATATATGACCAGTGGTAACCAATCTCCCGATAGTTGGGTTGGGTAGGTTGTCGTTTACGACAGGGATCAACATTTTTTTAATTTTTAAATATTCCAAAACACAAGACCACATCAGTAAAGTCTGGCAATCGGTGGTAAGAATATCGTTATTTCCGTGGGAGTGTGTTTTTAGTCTGTAGATTAATAAATCGACTGCCCTTTCTTCGGGCTATATTTTACCTTTAAGCTTTCTTTTTGTCTGCCCACCACTGTCATAAAAAAAGGTTAAAAATTTACTAAAACTACCTCTTCACAAAGTCAAAATAATATTCGTATTATTCAATTGAAGACAATTTCTTCGTAATGGTCTGAAGAGATTTACAGGTTTTAATTAATGATTAGATTGTTTAAGAGCTTTTAATTTACGCCTTGCTCCCAAAACACACAAAGTGTAACAATGTAAATTGTTTTCGAGTGAAAGTAACTTCTCCGAACAATTACGTAATGGCGAAAAGTTCTAATGAGAACTTTCTCTTAAGGAAGAAAAATATACATTTAGTTTCATTTTCAGTCTGAGAGTTATTAGTGCATACTATGACGTGCTCGTTGGTGTAATGTATGGCTATTACTCGACGGACCGTGGGTTTGATTCACATGTTTCTAATCTATTTATTATTCTTCTGAAAAATGTTCTGTAAATATTAATATTACATGGCTGGTAGGAATCTCGAAATATCATCCGTGTCGAACAACCGTCTATAGACGAAGAGGACCTGAAGTTAATCGCGTTTCGGTTAAATTAGAACGACTTGACGAATTAAATAAAATATAGCATTTGTAATTAATTTTAAAATCTTAACTAAGATTCTTACTTATTGGAGTTGAATGAATGATACATTTGTCTAATTTGTTTGTGGTGAAAATTAACATCGCTACCTAAAACATACAGACGTCTTATAATGAAAGTGACTTTGTTTTCTACATAACTATCAAAATTATACATAAACCATATCAACATGTCTTTTATTCTAAACGACTAGGCGTACTACAAAGTAGATCTGCTAAATGACTAAGTTTTAAAGTTGATTTTCTCGTTACTTCCAGTTGGGGGAAGGGGTGGAGCTGACATTAGGTGAACTGCGCGCGATGGCACTACGCCAGCAACAGCAGATTGACACCCAACACCAGTTGCTATGCGCCAAAGAGCAGAGGCTGAGGTACTTGAAGCAGCAAGAAGCACGACAGCATCAGGTATAATATATGAGTTTATATATCGGGTTTAAAAAACCACCCATCCATAATTCCCGCTTTGATAAAAAGACTAGCTGTGTCAGCGACTTCGTCCGCGTAGCAAGTTATTTTGGGCATCCAGATTTGTTTTTGCAAAGCTTCTATTTATCTTTATAAGTTTAAGCTGTTTCCCATGACGTCAGTCGCGTCCCGTCGTTCTTGCAAGTTAATCATAAAAGATAGACAAAGCAATGTTGCTGTCGCAGACTTTTTTTAGATCCTTTAAATCATTCTTCGACTCAATTTTAGTCGCAGCGCCATGTTTTATAGCCTGTGTAGCCTTCCTCGATAAATACCCTAATCAACAGAAAAATAATTTTTCGAACCATGAGTGTTTGAGATTAGCGCGTTCAAACAAACAAACAAACTTAAAAATCGAAAATACTTAAATGCTCTACCAATGACTCGGTAGCTCAATTGGTAGAGCAACTACACGCAACGCTGACGATGCCGGTTCAATTCCTGCCCGAGTCGAAATTTTTTTCAATTTATTTTCGATTTTTAAATTATATAGTGCCTTCATGCAATAACATGTAAAAAAATATTAAAGTTTTCAAATAAACAAAACTTTTCAGCTTTTATATTAGTATAGATGTACAGAAAAAAATACAAATACTGTCTATAGTTTACGCGAGTAGTACACATTTAAATAAAACACTTTAACGGTTTAAAACGCGATATATTAGTTAAACTTATTTGGAAATGATTTTTAACTTCGGCCCGACGTTTCGGATGCTTTGCAGCAGCCGTGGTCACGGGGAGACTAAAGATGGAAGATGTCTCTGACGTCAAAGTAAAAAATTGTAGCAATTTTTTAGAAAAAAATACGTTACTTTATAATGGTTCAATTTGCAACAAATTACTTATTGTAGAAATTGAAGTAAACCCTCTTCTAATAATGATTTCTATTAAAACGCCCGATAGAGTTAAAGTTTGTTCGCTAAATCTTTATGTAAACGTCCAGTTTTCAATCTTCCATCGGCGCTTTGCAAATTGAAGTAGCAAATTGAAAATGCGGTGAACTATCAGAAATACAAATTCTTGGGTAAACACATGATATCTAGGCTAAATTGAACGGGCTATAGATGGGATTTTATTTAATTAAATGTTAATCAGATTTTTTTTGTTAAACTACGAGTTTAAAAGTAATACGTCGTGTTTTGAATCGAATTTCGTTTAAAATAAAATATAGAGAAAAACATAGAGAAAAACGCGAGTAGTACAATTAAAATGAAACACATTTTAACGGTAAAAGCCGCAATATGTATTAGGTAACTTACAAATTATTTTAACTAATACATTTCGCGTTTTAAACTGTTGAAAAATGTTTTATTTAAATGTACATATCAATGTACCTGTTCTGTGGTTATTCAAACATCTAATATTGTCTTATAAATTCACTGCAAAACCAAAACAACATCGAATACTGTCTATAGTTTACGCGAGTAGTACACATATAAATAAAACACTTTTACGGTTTAAAACGCGAATACCAACTTCGACGGAACAGATGACGCTAGCGTAGCAGTTATTTACTTTGACGTCAGAGACACCCTCCATCCTTAGTCTCCCCGTAACCACGGCTGCTGCAAAGCATCCGAAACGTAGGGCCGTAGTTAAAATAATTTTCCAATAAATTTTACTAATATATATCGCGTTTAAACCGATTTAGTGTTTTATTTAAACAAAACAACATTAACTTAGTAGTTTTCAACAGACGTAACGTTTATAGAACATTTTATATCGGTAATTCTCAAAAGGTTTGAGCCACAATAAAAGCAGCTCTCACGTGCCGTACATAAATTAGTAATTTATGACGGCAAATTACTTTCATATCTAATGAATTTAATATTAAATGTTCATAATACGTTAGACGATCGTTATGATGATATTAAAACTGTAATCATTAGGTCTATACGCTGGTAAATAATACAGGTAATAAATCTTACAATTCGAGAATTTCTGTATCAGTGACGTGTTTAGTAGTTTTTTTTGTATTTCACGGCCTTACCGAAAAATCTATTTGCTTGATTTTATTTAGTAATTAGCTGTGACAGCGATTTCGTAGATTAGTTATTTTTGGCATCTAAATTTGTTTTGGCAAACCGCCTCACCATCTTTAATTCGAGCTGTTACCCGCGACGTCGGTTGCATCCCGTAGTTATTGCAAGTTAACCTTAAAAGATAGACATATAGTGTCGAAACTTTGTTAGATCATTTAAAGACAAATCATTCTTTGATACATATTTTTTGGGTATCTTGAGCCATTTTCGCTGCGAACGCATTGGAACTCACGAAGATGCATGATTTTCTCCGTTTTTTTCCACATTTCCCGCTGTTTTTCGCTCCTATTATTGCCCGTGCGATTTTTATAGCTCATTGTCTTCCTAGATAAATGTTTTACCAACACAAAAAAATCAATTTAAACCAGTAGTTCCTGAGATTATGACGTTCTAACAAACAAACCCTTCAACTTTATGTATTAGTATAGATTTATTTGGCCGCTTTTACATTCACGTATTGCTAAAGTAAGGTTTAAAAATCAAAAATTAATTGAAAAAAAAAATCGCCTCGGGCAGGACTTGAACCGACATCGTCAGCGTTCCGTGCTGTTGCTCTACCAATTGAGCTACCGAGTCCGAGTAAAGTAAGGTTGTCAAAGTAATTTCCAAGCATGTTTGAGAAAATAAATGTAACTAAAAGATTTACAAGCTTCACTGGTGAAATATTGTCATTAACTTCTTAATTCCACCGCAGCGTGGCAGCGGGCTATTAGCGGTAAGGAACGAGTGAAATCCTATCAAACGAGCTTATAACGGCTCCAGTAATAGCATTTAAAAGCTTTATGTCCTCGTACGTACATTGAGGATAAATTATTTAGTAAAATGAAGGATCTCTTAATACTCTCGGCATCTCCTGGGGTTACAATGTTGGATGAAATTCCTCAAATATTATACGAGTTAAACGTGGAATTTAATATGTGATAGATGCGGATTTAACGTTGAAATAAAACACTTATAGGTTTAAAACGCGTAATGTATTAGTTCACTTATTAACAATTTACGGCTTACAGTCACGTATACTTTGCAGCACAAGTCATGATGGGACTGGAGAAGGAAGGTGTCGCTAATGCCAATACAACTCGCGTTTTAAACCGTTTAAAGTGTTTTAAATGTGTACTACTCGCATACACTACGCGCAGTACCGGATTTAACTTCTGTAAAATATAGTTATTAATATATAATTATAAGGCTCACAAAATTATACTTTTAATTATATATTAATAAGCAAAAAACAAAATTAATATTCTTTAAAATAATAAAATTGCTTTAATGATAATATTCAGAAAGAAATATGCGTGAAAACCATAATCATAGTTAGAAATGTCGGCGTCTTTTAACGTCATGCGATGTAAACATATTATGCTTTGGATTCTAGAAATCCACAGATTGAAACTGAAACGCAACCTAACTTCACAGCTTTATCATCTGTGGATGGTGGTTTGTGACCTAGACAGAATTTTCGATATTCCTACTACAAATGTCATGATTTTCAGACTGAACAGAAATCCAATATAAATTGTGCAAGGCTTTCACGGCCATCGCTCAGCATATGCCCAGATGATGCGAGACGTCGAGAACCTGTTCTCGCTCACGTCGGCCGAACAGCCCGAAAGACAATGATATATAATTAATATAGAAATCCAATATGTTTTAGAAAAAAATATGTATTGATTGGAAATATATTGGATCTGGTGGGGACCGAACCCACGAACTGTTGCTTATTAGCCTTACATTGCTACCATTAGAACAAACAGCCAGTCAAAACCTTTATGTTTTCAGTGTTAAAAAGATTTTTAACTTAAGAATATCATTTAAAATTTGGGCAGTACTTTTTTGTTGAACGAGTTACGTCCTTCTAACGGTAAGACGGGCAAGAAGGTTAGCAATAGTAAATTTTGTTATTATCTTGGCACATCTGCGCTACCGGATACCGTAGGCGGTAGTAATCATTATTTAGAGAGCTTTTACATTTTCAATTTAGATTCCCTCTTAATGCGTAACACGATAAAATAAGAAATAGCTATACTTAAATTTATATAATTCAAGCTGTGCCTGCAACCTCGTCTCCGTAGAATAGGAATTTTGTACATTACATTTTTATTTGCAAACAACCTCCTCCAAAGCTTTTTTTGCTATCTAATCGAGGAGCTAACATCTCCTGATGATGCCGTCTGCTCGCGATGACGTAACGTCGAGAACCTCTTCTCGCTCACGTCAGCCGAACAGCCCAAAGAACAATACTATGCTAAATATTCGTTTAGTTATTTTTAAGGTCAAACGTAATGTCTAGGCTTAAACGCGCTAGATGCTTACCGCGGGGAAACAATAGATTGTTTCTATCGTGTAGGGCACAGAAGTCTTACTTAGATACTGGCCTGTAAATAAACCTGACCAGTGAAACACTGGACACCGATTTGTTCGCCCCATGACCCGAGGGGGAAACTAGATTTGACACTTTCACAATTTTTTACTATAAATAATTTATATTCACACTCTGCATATCTATAAAAATAAAATAAATGTGTAGTATCCCATCATCCAGCAGGTATTATCATTTTAAAGGCTAGCAATACCAGAAATAATATTCTAACGAACTTTTGACAGATTTCAATTACGTTGTATCTTTCATGCTAGATATAAATCAGTTTTTACTTAATTATATAATATATAATAAATGTAGATATCTAACGTTATAACGTAATTTACTTCTCTCCTTTTAAATATATACACGAGCATTTTTATTAAAAAGTAAAGCATTTTCATTCATTAAATGAAATGGAACTGAGCATTGCAGATAGTCAAATTGAAGTCGGTTTAATTTTCACTTGAAATATTACTTGTTATTTTTATGAAAGAAATTTGAAATATTCGAGTTATAATCATTCTATAGAGCAGAGGGAGTAGCTCGAGAAACGTATTTCGTGGGTTTATCTTTTAGTTTTAGTTCACTCAGAACTAACTAGATATTTCGTGTTTTATGATAAATTGCTTACTCTTGATAATTGGCTCTTGGTTGAACGAAAGGGTGTTGAAAATAAGGTTAGTGTTAGTTGAAAGAAGCCTTTCTTAAATAATATTAATGTATAATACCATATAGATATTTGTGGTGTTATATATATTAACTTTAGGTAAAGGTATCCGAAATAGATAAGGTTTAAATTTCCTAAAAGGTAAAGAAGACAATAACATTAAAACTGCGTATGTTTGTTATTGTTTTATTAATGACAATAATGAATTTTATGATTAACGGTAGTTCGGAATAGAAAGGGACTGCGACTCGTGCGCAGGTGACACTGCCGGTGCACTTGACGATATCCTTTACCTCGCATTCTTTGTTGTTCCATCCAGAGTATTAAAGGCTTGCTCTGTTGTATCGGACAATGCGTCTAGGAGCACGGACCACGGTCTATAATGATCCGTCACCACTACCCTCATGACAGTATTCCAAGTTTTTTTTGTATTGCCACGTCTTGCGTTGTAGAATTTGTATTGTTAAATGGTTATTTAATATTAATCAACTCTGTTAAAATCATTGTAATTTATCTCTAAATGGGATCTTATTTAAGATGGCCATCCCTTACTTATATATGTATATGCCTCTCCAATATGTATTTTTTAAATGCCTAACTAATTAACTGTCATAAACAACCAGTCGAATAGCTAATCTGTGTTCTAAAAGATGGAAATAAAATAATTACGAGGTCGGATGAAGCATCTGAGCTGCCAAGGTGGGATTAAAATTTTTACTTGATGCCTTTTGTCAATGAATCTTTGAGCGAGCCTTGATCCACCGCCTGTAAAGTTCTTTGAGTGCGGATAAGAGTTCTCGTAAAGAACAAATTAAAAATAAACAAAGCTACCGGCTATCTCTTAATTCGTTAATTCGCCGGAATGTCTCGCACTTTCATAGCGATAAAGTGAAAATAATTTAGAATCCGGAGTTAATAAATCTCTAAGCCGGCAGTAGGCCGTTACCCTAATGCGATATTTATCGTTTGGCTAAAAGAAATAAACTTGGCGAATAAATACCGCTATAACACAAACAAGATTGGCATTGTCGGCTTTCAGCCGGAATAAATTATCCTTTTCATCGTATTCATTTTTAGAGTCAAGGGTGTGAATATTTTATTTGAGCGAGTGGATTGTGTTTTTTATCTCCGCGTAATACAGCGATGGATAGTGGTGATCTTGAGATCTCTTTTATAGTACATTTTTATTGCTCTATTTGGGCATTTGGGCGAAAACTTAGCGATAATACTGGTTGTAAATGTAAATTTCGAGTATTTGCTTTTTAAATTTCATAAATTTACTTAACTACCTACACCGATAATTGTTTTAGATTTGTTTTTACATTGTTTAAGACGTTGCACAGACAAAATTAAAATTGCACAAACGATGTTGCTGTATTTTTAAGATGGCCAAAAAACATTTTAATGGAAGATTTATTTAATTACCCATGATATTAGCAGTACTTAGTTTTTCTGTTACGTAAATACAATTCATATGATGGAAAATGTAATTACATATAAGTATACAATAATTGGAAATTCATTTTGTATTAAAATTTGTACAATTGTAAATTTTTATAACACAATGTTATCGTTAGGATTGTCAATATTTTAAAACATTGTTCTGTTTGGCGCCAGATGCTTATAACGATATAAGTTACTATTAAAAATAGGTAACAACACATTGCATTTAAATTATATATAGAATAAGAATTAAGTTTTTTTGCCGACTCTACAAAATACAGTTTTTATAAATTAACTTATTATCACAGGTGGCTGTAGAAGGCGAGCGGCTACGAAGGCTACGCGAACGCGTAGAAGCCCAAGAACAAAAGCTACGCCGACTGCGGGCGCTACGGGGCCAACTCGATAGGAATAAGCAAACGAATATAGCCCTTAGTGAGTATTCATAAAGTAATAATTTTCAAGCATATTTTTGATTAAATATATTCAGATATTACAGTTTAAACTAAGGTCTGACAGGAGCACAGTTTTTGTACTCTTTTCGTTTAGATTATGCATTTTTTCCTTTTATTTATTTATTGTTTATAAGGTGCTTCTACAGCTATACATATATAGTTTAAAAATAATTATAACTTAAGATAAATCAATAAAGGATTACACAAGTAAAGAAAAACAAATTTATAAATAATTACAAAAAGAACTAAAAGTAAGGCATGTTTTTTTTTTAAATGTGACGTAATCAAGAAAAATTATTTACGATTAAGTACACAAAAAAGGTGCAAGGCTTTATTTAAATAAGAAGACAAAATTAAAAATTAATCTAATAATTACCAGAGAAATAGATAGGATATTAAAAAACTGCATTACCATATTACCCTTCAATATAACATTACCTAAAATATTATGTACGTTTTTGTTGTACCAGAGTAACATCACTGCGTCGCATCAGTAGTCTAATATAATATTAAATACAACCTCCAAAAAGGCACACTTATCATAACGAATATATTTCGCTGATTATATCAATGAGGATTGTTATTAAAACGTGAAAATTAAAATAAATTTACTGCTTGCTATAATTGCATTGACCGGCCATGTTTTGTAATTTTTTTTGCCCGTGTGCAAACAAAACAAATTTTGAAAAATTTGTTTTAGGGGGGGGGGGGGGGGGGGGGGGAAACATTATCATGAATCGAATACTTATTTCGTTTCGATTATTATATCAATGAGGATTGTTAATTAAAACATAATAAAATTTAAAATAAATACTGCTTGACTGATAATTGCATTAACTTCGGCCCGATGTTTCGTGCTTTGCAGGAGCCGTGGTCACCGGGAGGGCTTTCTAAAAAATTTTATATGCAATATTTAAACGTGTACTACTCGCGTAATCACTATTGAATATTTCTTTGTGTGTAATGATTAAACGAATTTGCTAAAACATACGGGGTATGAATTCCCGCCCCCCCCCCGCCCCCCCCCCCCCCCGTGGGGTGGCCTTTTTGGGCGCCCCCCCGTTTTGAACTCGTTTCCACAATTATAAATAAAATAAGTGTCCGCGTAAAAATACACTACGTACTTAAAGAAACGGGATTGACATAACAAGTCAGTTCTTCGGAAAGGGTTACAAGTTAAAATTGAATTTACGTAAACTGTTGAATTAGTTTCCGTTAGGTAGCGAACTAATCTGTGAATTAATGCGACTACCCTCAAGAGCTTACGCGCTTAGGTAAATATAGTCGTGATAGCAACCGCTGACTAACGATAGAACCTTACTCTGGCTTTCCGTTGAAATTATGAAACGACTTTTGGGTCTTTGGTCTTGGTTTTTAAATTTCATAATTTAAAATAGATGAAATAATACATATGTGATACACATTATGAGTATATGAGCAAAATAAAGATGAGCTATTAACTTGGGCGAAAATTAAATGTACTATTATTTGTGTAAGAATTGTGTTAACAATTTTCGGTCACTGTGCTCTTGCCGCTTGACCGCCTTTGTAGCCAAATGGTTAAACGTATTGCCATAAAAAAATTGTTTCGGGCAGAGCACTGTCTGATCAACTACTTGCCGGTTAAAAGAACGGATCAATGAAACTGACACAGAAATGTGTTCGCCCCATGCCCCACGAGGGGGAAACGGGCTTTCACTTTGTGCTCTGCCCTATGCACGAGTAGATTAACATTTTTAGACTTAATAAAATATAAATAAGTAAATAACTCAAGTTAGGCTACTCTGCCTCTAGCGGTCTAATATTATCTCCAAGTTATATAGGGTTTTCATTATTGATATATGTTTCCGCGCCGTCACAGACCGAAATCCCAGACTTAGAAGTGATGAAGAGTGAAATCCGTTTTTCCGAATCTGTTTTTACGACGCGAAAACCCAGCTTGCTATTTTTGCTTCATAAAAATTTACTCGTGTATTACATTAACATAATGTTCGCGGGACAAAATGTGTAAATAGCGTTAAGTCACATTTTTATATTTTTCTAAACATCTGCTTTTCGCTTGAATAAATATTTAACGGATAACGTCTTCTATTATAAAATACTAGCTGAGCCGGCAAACGTTGTTTTGCCATATAAATAATTTTACTAAAATGTCTATTAAAAAATAAGGGTTGATCGTAGAAGAGTGAAAATTGAGGATTGTATGTATTTTTGTATGTTGTATCATAAAAAAATAGAAATTAAAAATTTTGTCTAAAAGATAAAAATAAAATTAAGGGTGAACAACCCTTATCACTTAGGGGGATGAAAAACAGATGTTGTCCTATTCTCAGACCTACTGAATACACATATCAAATTTGGTGAAAATCGGTCTAGCCGTTTCGGAGGAGTACAAGTTGGAACACCGTGACACGATCATTTTATATACTATAATATGAACTGATTTATTTGTGGAGTTATGTATCTAGGATGATTATAAATTATAATGATTTATTACTTATAATTATTATTTTGACGGGCTTGTTGGTCTAATGGTAGCAATGTATGGCTAATAATAAACCGTTGGGGGGGGGGGGGGGTTCGAACCGTTCCGGGTCCAATATGGTTCTAATTTTTCACTAAATATTTTTTCTAAATATTATAACTGGAAATTGATTGGGCGGAAGGAATATAGAAATTCCGTCTGGGTAACGAACCACTGGCCACAGATGAAAAAGCCGTGAAGCCTAGTTTAGGTTTTCATTCTGTGAATTTCCGAATATCCAAAGCCAAAATAGATCGACAGCGCATCTAGCTTAGATGCTATAGGCTGGGGAATATCACCTACTATCAAGTCTTTTCTGTCCTCCTCTATCATTAAAAAAAATAGAAAAATTGTGGAAGGTAGATAAACCTAAACTTACTAAGAACGAGAAGTTTGTACTAAAGTTACTCTGTAACTAGTGTCTTATTTAATCTAACGTCTGTAGTCATATTATCGATGTGCCTAATTTAATTCTAACACTCTAATTAGCAACATCGCAAACACTAGAGAAATTAACAATGTAAATTCAAATTTGTTGCATACTAAAATTAATGTTTAACGGCTTATCAATATGTAAATTCATTCTGTGAGCACTATATAAATTAACGTGTGCATTTCTAATTAAGCACGGCAGTCCCACAGATGGGCCCAGGTCTCCTTTCACATAGCTTTAAAGACCCATTATTATTCATTAGAGTCAATTAATAAAGATTTACTGGAGATTAAAGTGGAGAGATAAAAAAAACCTCGCGATCATTATAACAATTAGACAGTTAAATAAACGCAGTGTGTTACAAAATGAGTACTACTGTTTTTTGACAGAAGAATAGACAAACATGGGAGTTCACTTGATAGAATATCAATTAACCCAACCAAATAATATCTCAATAACCCTGCTAAACTATTTTCGCTATGGACATTCCCAAATCCACAGACTGCAAGCAAAACGCGATTAAAATTCGCACCTTTTTCATCTGTAGATTGGTTCACAATTTGTTTATATAACACCCATTTAGTATCTAGATTTCCAGACGAAATTTAAAATATTTTTTTTATTAGAAACACCGATCTAGTACGGTGAAATCGAATCTAGACATTTCGACTACTATTAGTAATACGTTACTCTAGACTAGCGAGCTCATCTCTAAAATCAATACTTTTTATTTATTAAAATGAAAGGTGTTGCCGCTTCCATGGATGTCGATCAATAGTTACCACGACTGGTTTAGTCTAGTTAAAAATAACTATTTATAGAATCACAAGGTCGTACAACATTGATTCTTTAGTTAGGAGTTTATACTGTTTTTATTTATTAAAAAAACTGAATAACATAAAGGTGATGGTTAATTAAATATTTGTTTTAATTAACGTTTTTATACGTTTGAAAACTTACGCCACCCATGATACTTAAACGAGATGGTGCGGTAGTCTTACTAAGCCTTACGTAACACACGAAATATCTATCTAGTTATTGTTAAATGCAAGCCCGAATTTACTTGTCCTAATATCCTGTTCGTAGTATCACTTGATAGGTCATAAGTTTCAAATTTATGATTTTGCATTTGTTTCAACAGAATAAATGGTCCATTTTTTTACATAATAGATTTGAGATTGTGTTGAAAGCGATTCTCATAACAAAAGATCATAAAGGATAAAAATCCAATTTAGGATCGAGAATTTAATTTGAAAATTCAAGATTATCTACGTAATAAGGTAAAAAATTCAAAGTTCATTTAGGGAGGGCTTATAAAGCACACCTGGCTCTAGTGTCCTCACAAATCGTGATCAAGTTTATACTTTATTTACGCAACGGCCTCGGAAATTAAAATAAGAAAGTTAATTAAACTTCGCCCGGGCGAAATAAAGAATTTTATGTATGGCGTGGCTAATTGCTTTAATAATTTTGCACTTGTCAAAACCATCAGTGTTAATGTCGAAACCATATCATCAATGAAAAACGAGACAAACAAACACTTTTTTTACGACCGTAACCTAATTGAGAAAAGTCTATAATATAATCTTACTTTAACTGGTTTATCTGTCTCGTTTTCTTTAGTTTGGGAAATCCCGTTTCCCCCTCGTGGGACACATTTTAATGTCCGTTTCACTGATCCGTTCTTTAACAGGCAAGTAGTTGATCAGACTTCTGTGCCCTGGCCGACCGAAACAAATTTTCGTTTCCTGGGATTCGACCTCTTACGCTTAACGCAATGCTTGGCAATATATTTAACGGCGGTGTTTTCTTTATTTCTTCGTAAAATAAAGGTTCAGTTAAGAACATTTCGGTGTTAAATTCTTTCGATTGATTAAACGAGTAACAAATATAGTTACAAAATTTTTCATCAACTAATACTAATATTTAATCTTAAGAAGTTTATCGCTTAAAGACAAATAAAATTACAAAAGTACAACTACTCGTACAAGTTCGTACCTTGCTCATTGTTTTTCACGACCTT